TGATTAAAGAGCCAATATAGCAAATGTCATTTAGTAGCAACTCCAAACACGTTGTACAGCAGGGAGTTTTTTTAAAAAATACAAATTCCCCAAGAAAATGTATCCCATGAATGATATTTAATTGACAGACTAACAAAACAGACCATGCTTTTTCATACATCTGTCCATCAGTCACTACAGGCTGGAGAGCTGGGCAAAGGGGAATCTCATGAAGTGTAGAGTCCTGCATCTGGGGAGGAATAACACCAGGCACCAGTACAGATTGGGGATTGTCCTGCTGGAAAGCAGCCCCACGGAGAAAGACCTTGGAGGCCTAGTGGACAGTGAGTTGTCCATGGGACAGCAATGTGCCCTTGTGGCCAAGAGGGCCAATGGGGTCCTGGGGGGCATTAAGAAAGGTGTGTCCAGCAGGTCTAGGGAGGTTCTCCTCCCCTTCTACTCCGCCTTGGTCAGACCACACCTAGAATACTTGTCGTTTTGGGCTCCCCAATTCAAGAGAGACAGGGACCTGCTGGAAAGAGTCCAAGGGAGAGCTGCAAGGATGATTAAGAGACTTGAACACTTCTCCTATGAAGAGAGACTGAGAGAACTGGGGCTGTTCAGTCTTGAAAGGAGACGGCTGAGAGGGGACCTTATTAACATACACAAATATCTGAGGGGTGAATGTTAAGAGGAAGGGGACAATCTCTTCTCAGTGGCGCCCAGTAATAGAATAAGAAATAATGGGTTTAAGTTAGGACACGGGAAGCTCCACCTCAACATGAGGAAAAATTTCTCTACTGTGGGGCTGACGGAGCACTGGCACAGGCTGGCCAGAGAGGGTGTGGCGTCTCCTTCTCTGGAGGCTTTCAAAACTCGCCTGGATGCATTCCTGTGTGGCCTGTCCTAGCTCTGGCAGGGGGGTTGGAGTAGATGATCTCTAGAGGTCGTCTCCAACCCCTAACATTCTATGATTCTATGATTCTATGATAATTACACAACATTCAGGAGAACTACAGAAAATACATTTTTCTCCTAGAAAATCATGACTTTATGTGTTACAACTACAGGATTAAGAGAGTTATATTCTTGTTGTTCCACCTTTGTCTCTATCATATACATTTATTCAGTCCTATTCTCTTAATCATGGAGCACCAAAAAAAGAGCAAAAGCTCAGTCAGAATTCAGAGAGAGGGAGTCATACTTTCCAAGGATTGTTGATGTCCAAAGCAGAGACTGATAAATGTCAGACCCTGAAAACACTTCAGTGACACCGTACAATTAAATTTAGAGCTTTTATAAGAGAGAAAAGATTTTATTCTTGCAGCCATTAGCTTTAATTGGAATGGTGCCATGTAGAGAAGAATCCTTTAGCACAAACCCCACAGGAATCTAAACAGACACGGGACCTGAGGGTAAACTGTCAACATAGTATAGGAACCACATCAGGTGCACATCTGGAAAGTCTTTCATCATTAAGGGCACCAGGACTGGAAGCCTGGTGACATAGCAGCAACCTCAGCCCTAAAGAAAATGTCCCTAGAGTTACAGTCTTGCACAAAGATCACTAGTCCATGCTGAAAGAGCAAACAAAAAATTGCTGCAGAGCTGTACTTTAAAAACACAGCAAAACTCAGACTAATCTAATGCTGTCAAGCCAATTCTGTCTCTGAGTAACTACTCAGGGACAAATCGTTCTCTGTTAGGCTTATGTCTGAGCCTGAGAAAGTACAAATTTTCAGAGCAGAACCCGTGGACTGAGACCACTGTCAACCTGATGAGAGAAATGTGACTTGGAAATCCTACTGGAGCTCACTAAGGTCTTGGTTTTCAGTATCAGGGAACTAAAAGGGATTTCAGTCACATGCAAAGTTAGATTTCCCCATTTTCAGTCCTCTTCTCATTCTCTTCTGGGTTGTTTGCTTTCCCAGACGACCCTTCCCTCTTTCATTTTTGCTTTGTGGCTGGGTGCTGAGGAGGTGACTAGGTGACTGGGTTATTTAAGAGGTGAGAAACACAGGGAACCGTCCTGAACTGAAAATGAAACTGGAACAAAAGTTGATAAAAAGTAGTGGGTCAAGTTATGTATCTGCTATTAATGGCTGAATAAAGAGCCCTGCAGTCCCAAACACACAAAGGATTATAAATACCCAGAGAAATACTCTGTCTATCACCATAGCTACGTATTTCCAATCGTCTTCCACCTGCAAGAGCGAAAAAAAAAGAGAGATAAAATACATATCATGTAACACGCAATGTTTGACATTATGTGCTAGAAAAGTCCCTTGTGGTTTGGAATGTGAGGAAGAAACCACATGCAGGCAAGAATGTTTCTTGATGTGCTTATAGTTTCTGCAGCTTTCGAGTGTCTTTAGAGGGGTCTGATTTTCTAACAGAATTTACCACTTCTGGCTAAGAATACTGAACACTGTCCTAGTCTGCTGAATTTTGATTGTAATGGTGACATTAACCAACAGGACCTGATCATGTGGTGAGTGTAGAGAGGTGTAGTTTAACAACAGGAAGAATCACCATAGTTGCACACCACTAGACCCTGTCAAAGGATTTATCCTGACAGCCCACAAGGAACAGTTGGCTATTCTGGTCTGATTTGCCACACGGTCACTCCAATCGAGCCACATGGATTTCAGCAAACTGGACAGCTGGACACATGGACTATAGCAAAGCAGGGGCCCTGACGGAGCTAACCATAGTATCATGCACTAGGAAGCCAGAATGGATTTTCTCTGTCTGGGAGATATACCTTAGTATCACATTCAGTGAAGGTGCTGTCCTTTAAACTGTACCTACATAAAAGGATCACTGGATTAGAAGGATATCCATTCATATGAAATTAGTGACTGCGTAAGACCTCTCTGCTGAGGGATTTTCTGCTTGCTGCCCCATTTTCGTGATGTCTTTCTCCAAAAAGAAAATGCACAAGAACTCCAGCTGCTGTAAATGTTGCCACCGTTTTTTAAAGGCTTTTAATTCGTACAGGACTAGTGTATCACCCATACGGCTTTATATGTCCAGCTGAAGCAGAAGCAGCCTGCAGAATCATTTCCTCAGTGCTTGGTTGAGAACAAACCCCTCTTCTTCCCCAAACAAAGGATTTTTCTCAAATGAAAAATCCTAGTTCCCATTCCTAGCATATTTTGAAAGAAAATGAAGAGCTGCTGATTCACACACCAGACTGAGAACACAATTTCATGTGGCAGGAGATTTGCAAAATACAAATCAGCAAAACTGGCACTGGAAGACATCATGAAGCTATGTAATCAAGGTGATGTAATTTTGGGGCTTCCTCATGAAAAACATCTCTTTCGGAGTGCATCGAAGAAATCAGCGGAATATGGTACATGCAAGTGGTGTGGCGCTGAGAGCAGGGATAAAAAGTTGGTGTCAGGCAAAATATTAAGGACATACTACCAATCAAGGCTCAGATAAATCCCTATCCTCCTTTGCTTTGGTAGATTACTATCTTTTGCTTTGGACTGCAATGTATTATCCACTCATCTGTTGAATTCTGTCACCAGGTCTTAACTAGATCCCACTACTCAGAAAGTTATCGACTTTGTTTTCAGACGAAACATCTTCTGCAGAATATAAGAGGGGCTAAAAAGTAATTTTCAGTTTTCACAGAAATTGCAAGAATTTGAGCTGATTTTAACAAAATATTCTGATGGATAGAATACCTCTCAACATTTCCCTCACCAAAGCATGTGTTTTTTCAGTACAAATATAGCAGTATTTAATTTTGAAATGGGTTTTGCCATCATAGGGCATCTAAAAAACTTCAAAACCAAAATGAAACATTTCATGACAGATCAAAGTTAAATGTTTCATTAGAATCTAAACACTTAAAAAAATCCATTTTGAAGTGCCAGAGAATTCCTATTCCTTGTGAGGCCTGGGTGTGGGGGGACCTCAGGTAATCTTTTCTGGAGCTGCACTTAGTTGCTTGTGTTTAAACCTGAGGACATGGCCCCAGAACTCTCTAAATTCCTGCATGCATCATTTTCTATGACAGTAATCCCAGTCAGGATGAAAGTTTTATAACCTCACACAAGAAAATCCATTAGTTCAAATGCCAAGCCTTATTTTTAAACTCCTTCTTCTCTTTTTTTTTTAAAAAAATAAACAAACAAAAACCACCTGTCTTTAGTCTGTTGTATGTTTTCATTCAGCTGTCTTTCCCCAAAACTCAACTTTCGCTTCAACCTATTTTTGTCATGGCTGAAAATACCGAATTACTGAAGCCACAGTTACTAAAACCACTGTAAAAAAATCAGAACACACCAGACTGAAACAAAGTAGAGACAATAGCATTCTGAAATGAGTATCCTTACTAGATTTATCCCTGGCTGAGAATAGTTCTCCAGATCAATTACTGTGCTGCTAGACAAGTCTTGTTCTTAAAAAGCAGTTCCCAAATGTGCTTGTTCCATTACTAACACAGAAAAGCCTCCTGCTTGGCAAATACCATACTTGGTATTGACATGTCACGGCTTACCAGAGCTAAGCAGTTGGTGAGCAGTGGAAGAGGGTTGCTTCTGTGGATCTAAGGAGAGCTGGAAGAGACCTTGAAAGGTCCCATCTAGTCTATCCTCTGACCTAGGGCAGGATCAGCTCTGCCCGAAGCACTGCCAATTAAATTTCATTCCTCATGGCCACAACCAGCTGATGCTCCTCTTTTCCTTTGAAGGTTGAGCTTCATGTCTAATCTATAACCGTTTTGCTGTCTAAATTACCCACTGGGGATAGAGGAATAACAGAAGAGGTCACTTTTTTTGTTCCACCCCCAATGGATGATTTATCTCCTCCTGTTCTGTATGAAATTTTGACCCATTCACAGGTCTCAAAATCTTCTCGTCTAGACCCAACAACTACAGTTTCTCTGGGCTGCCCTCCTAGATCGTATTCTCACTTGCTGGAAGTGTGGCCCCACGACCAGGTGGGTGGTTACCTCCCTTACCTCTTTGGTTTCATTTTGAGACCTCATGTTCTCTGCGATGAACTGAATGCTGCTAATGACATCCTTCACTTCTGAGGAGTATTCCATGTGCTCTGCCATCCATTTCACTGACTGATGGCTCAGCCATTTTTTTTTGGTGGCAGCGAGTTCAGTTGCCTTATCACAGTGATTGCATCGCTGCTCCTTGTGTAATTTGGTATTTTTGTGTTTGCTGTGCTTTGGCTTGCCTGATATATTGGCTGATGTATTGGCTGATCCTTTCTTGCTTTTTCTGGAGATGTTTTTCTTCTGCTGTTCCAGTGGCCTCTGCATCAACAGGATTTTGGGGAGCAGGCAAAGAAAGACGGTTTTTACCCATTTGGGCATTGTGTGTGTGGTTGGAGTCCTGTAATGTATGTTCAGGACAAACACTGTGATGACAATTGACAGAGTCACAAATATCATTGTGAAGAGTAAATATTCACCTACGAGTGGAATTACTAAAGAGGTGGATGGGATTGTTTCTGTGATCACCAGTAAAAATACAGTCAAAGAAAGGAGCACAGAGATACAAAGTGTGACTTTCTCACCACAGTCAGATGGCAGGTAAAAAACTAACACAGTCAGGAATGAGATGAAGAGACAGGGAATGATCAGATTTATGGTGTAAAACATTGGTAACCTTCGGATATAAAAGGAATAGGTTATGTCTGTGTAGATCTCTTCACAGCAGTTATATTTGATGTCATGTTTGTAGCCAGAAGCATCAACTATTTCCCACTCACTGTTTTCCCAAAAGTCATTCATATCTACTTTGGATCCAATAATCAGAAGATCAATTTTGGCTTTGTCATAAGTCCATGAGCCAAACTTCAGGGAGCAGTTCTGATGATCAAATGGGAAGAAGGTAATATCCATAGGACAGGAACTTTTAAAAATAGCTGGTGGGGTCCAGGTGATCATTCCATCATAGCGGAGGAGGGCTTTGGTCTTGCCTTCAACTTGAAAATCTCCCACAGCACTAGAAAGACAAATAAGAAAAAGAAAAGAAAATTACCATGAAAGTAAAATTTTTTTTTCACAGACACCGCAAAGCATACTTTTCAGAGAAATAGTGAAATGGAAAAGTGTGTGTCATACTTATTATATAAGACAATATCTGGTTTCCAAATTTTATCTGCTGGTACCCGAACAAATTCAATGCCATCGTATTCTCTGGGATTCCACCGCAATTTGTAGTCATTCCAAATCTGAAAGAAGAGTGGACAAGGATTTTAAAACCCTATATTATCAGCAAACAGATGCTTCTCAGATCTTCCAGTCACTCTCACAGTGAAAAAGTCACTCTTTATGTTTTTGTGGAACCTCCTATGCTCCAGCTTGCACCCATTGCCACTTGTCCTATCACTGGACATCACTCGCATCCCTACCCGGCAAAGCTATCACGTGAGTCCTGTGAATTCAGGCAGAGCAGCAAGTAAAACATAACAAAGCAGTGGGATAAATATCACAGGCTTTCTAGAGAGGAGGTGATCTCCCTATGCCTTCGCTGCCACCTGTCGTGCTGCTCGAGTGATCGCTGCTTATGTTCCTCTTTCCGGATGCCGCTGCAAAGATTCTCCAGAATCTCAGGGAGCGAGAATAAATCTCTACTTTGCATTTCAGCTGCGTTCGCGTTTGTTCCCGCATCCTGCTTGTTTCAGCCCACACAGAAGGCCGCCATCAAAGGAGACCAGTATTTTGGTGAGAAAGAAGGTACATATGAGCACACTCACAGGCAGTTGCTGCCAAGGGACGTTATTGGTTCCACAGGGGTAGTGACCTACCAAGTCCAGGGCAGCAAGGGATGCCCAGCAGCTCTTTTGCATTGCTGTCTACTACTCTATCATTGGGTCATACTCCATGCTCTTGCAGCCTACCCTGAAGATCCTGAACATAAGTACAATATCTTTTACAGAATGCTTTGTGTGGACTAAAATCAGTGCCTGAAGGAAACTGGTTTTGCTAGAAGTTGGTTTGTTTAGGTCCTCTAAGTATCTCTGTCTTTGTATAAATGCTAAAACTATCAGGAAAAGATGGAGCCATGTTCCTTTCGCTAATAAAAGTTTTGGTTGTAATCTTCAATATGGAGGTGACCTAGGACTGCATAGCTGCATATTTAATCATTCTTTAAAGGGTACATCCAGACAGATTTACCAGATAAACCAATGACCACAAGGTTGGAGGAGAATATAGCACACAGGAAAGATGGGAGATGTAACTTCTTAGAAATAAGAATAAAGAAATTGTGTTTTAACATGTGGCTTTGGTTAGTGGAGCTCTTCCTTATTAATACCTTTAAAATTCTTGTCACAAAACAAGCACTTTTTTTCCATAGATGTTGCTACAAGGTAACACACATCTCACCGTATCAATGCAAAATGTATGAGAAATGTAATGCATTCACTTACGTGTCTTAGCCACAGATTTGTTTCCATAATCTGATTGACTTCATCCTGGAAAGAAAAACAGATATGCACATCCATAAATCAATTACAGCATCCTGAGAGGGCAACAAACCTGTTCAGATAAAAATGGAAACTAGAATTCCACATTAACTGTTACCAGATTTTTTTTCTGGCTATTTTCAGGGGGCTTATACATTGCGCACAGTCATGTGCAGCTCTACTGAAAAATTTCTAAACCTCTACTGAAAAGTTTCGTCCCACAAATATTAGACATACAAATTGCTGCGTCGTTTTGCCAGCGGCCTCAGTCCCTGGAGAATACAAAACTTATAGTTGCCCTGACCAGTACCAGAGAAATAAGGTTCTGCTAGTGGCTGCATGTGTTTTGTTGGATTCAGTGTTTAAAAAGCTCTGTTTATGCAGGTCAACTCTGATCAAGATTTAAGGAAAATGACATCTGTACCACAGCGTTCTTGCATTGCTATGCCAATGTCTAGAGCAGATGCATTCCACCAGCATTAAATTAGGTGACTGTTGTACTAAGACCTTCTTTTTACAGTCATGTTTTGCTATGGCCAATCATCAGTGAATCAGGAAGACACAAAAATAAAAGCTTGGATCCTGTTCTAATGAGTCTTCAGCCTAAAAGCATTCAGAAATATTCATTTTACATATATTTATGAATGCAGACTGATATTCACAATAAAAATATCTGCAAGAATATATTTTTATGTATATTTTTACATTAAAAAATAGGATGTTTACAAGTCAAAGGTAGGAAATATTGCAGATAAATTTTCAACATTGCAAACACCGAAGATTACACACAAAGATCATTTTTAAAGGCCTGTAAGGGTTCCTCTCTATAGGTTAAGTTCTTGTAAAAATCCCTACTCTTTTTTGAGAAAATTCAACTAATAAAATTATGATGCTCCTTTTTTTTCCTCCAAAGACAGTGCTGGGAGCCAGTGGCCTTGTGATACAGAACTGCTGAAATCTGACAAGATACCTGTTACAATGAAACAAAATGAACAAATGAACTTCAAAAGGTGATAGCTGCCTTCACCACGAGGACTTACCATCCCTTCATTTACATTCTCAAATAACTTAGTTCCCTGGCTGCTGTTGAATATCACTCCTCACTGCTTGCCTGTCACCTGATCATGGACTGAACTATGTTCCTCAGAATCAAAACTCAGCCTTTGTACTGTGGGTAATTTGCTTCAGAGAGTAGACTTCAGCAAGTGTTAAGGTCGAGTTTTGCTTCTTCCACAGTCCTTCTGTCCTGCCCAGCAGATCTATCACCTCTGACACACTTGGCTTTGCATACAGTGCACCCCAGAACACAAAACATTCATCAGCAGCTCCACACTTTCAAAGACCACTCTGCAGGTCGCACATCTCTTCTGTTAGTCTGAAACTAACAGACTAAAAAAGCATGCCAAAAAACCCCAAAGATTTTATCTCTCAGAACCACTGGTAAATGACACTGTCCCCACAGAAGAATCAGGCCACTTGCTACATAACGTAGACAAAACCAGGTGTCTCTGGAGTGGGGTAACTCTGTGAAGAGTGGACTTGAACTTTTGTTACTGCTGCTCTGAGTGCCAGGGACTGCTGCTGAGAACAGAGGGATCGGATCCTACAAGGGAAGAAAATGAATCTGTGTAGTTTGAACTAGAGCGATCTGGCTGACAGAACAGCAAATAGAGAGTCGTAGGTGAAACCATCACAACCATCACAATGACATCTGCTGCTTTAGCAATCTGTGTGTGTTTGCAACCAGTACTCAGAAGTACTCTGTAATGAGTCTTACCACATTTGTAAGCTGGGTAATGGCCACTTCAAAATACACTGTGACGGGATCAGACACATTTTCCACTGGCCTGATGAACTGGTTGTACTGAGAGAAGAGTTTGTGAAATAATCGTTCCTCTGATTCGCAGGCTGTGGTATCTGTGTTGGTAAAAAAAAAGAACAGCTATGTCAGAGGTAAGGAAGAGGGAAGGAAGGTGCTGGAAAGCATACTAGTTCATGCTGCATTTCTGGATCTCGTGTTCGTGACCATGTATCAAAACACAGGAGCGCTCAGAAAAGAGGGCTGCCAGTATGCCAACAGTTGAAAGCGCTCTCTTGCAGGACATCACCCACAGCTGTCTCCTCAAAGTGTAGAGGAATGGCCTGGTGGAAGTGTTTCCTGAGCTGTATCTAGCCTAGAGGCCTCCATTTTGGCCCACCCTGATATCAGACCAAAGTAGAATTATGTGATGTAGAAAAATCAGGTGTGTGTTAGGTTTAATCTTTGGGAATTTTTATGGTAAAACTGAGAGTTTATGAAAAGCGTAGCTGCTTACTCAATAGAAATTAAAAGCCCAAGGCTGTAAATACTGGATCAAAATCTATGTCAGGGACTTTGATTAGGTGATTATAATGATGCTTTCTAGTCTTAAAGACCACGATTACATTTCATCCTCATGTTTGCTATTTCAACTCTTTAGATAATACAATTTTTGCTCTAAAAGAAGTTCATTTATGAAGTTCTACAAAGAAAAGAAGTGGAAATATTAAATTATTTTTAAAAATAGCATACATCTTTCTAATAAAGTGCTGTTCCTTCAGACCAAGCTGATCACAGCTGTAACGCTCTGCCAATGCATGAATAAATTATGTCATAGGCACTGAATTGCTTCACTGCAGAGTCAGGAAGAATGTTCTTAATCTGTTACATACAGCCCAAACCTGAAATAGTTATTTTCACAGTGCTAAAGGCCATAGACTTTGATTTCAAAGGGAAAGGGTAAATCATGTGGACTCTGGCAACATAAATTAATAAAAATACTCTTCTTGAATAAATTTGCTCTTTCAATACACTAGTATAATTCAGCACTTAAATCAAAAATACTTTGCAAAGCAACGATTTAGAATTTGCTTCCCGTATTGAGCACGGCTATGTTATCAAAGATATATGATGATGCCAAAGACATTACTGACGCAACTGAGGAAACATTAGTGTTTCAGATACATGGTCATAATTTTTTCCATTAGTCCCAATTTTGCACTAGAACATGTCAGGAAAGCAATCATGACAAGCCTTTATGTCTGCAAATATTAAACATAGAAGGTGGTTGTGTAAGGCCGTGTGGTCTCTTGCACGACACAGGACATAAATTTGCAATTTACATTTCCTTCAGTGAACACAAAGGCCTGTGGTTGCACAGATGTTCTACAGGGAGTGCTTAGTCTCAGCAAACTGCATTATTTTCAAGCTTAGGCCATTCTTCCCTTATTTTTTGAAAAAAAATTACCTGCCTCTAAGGTGATACAAAGCATGCTCAGATTCAGGGAATTATCACAATTAAAAGCCAAAATGTTGGTTACCAGTGACTTATATGTATGGAAAGAAAATTCTAGTAAAACTTCCCTGACCTGATGTTTTGTTTCATCCTTTTAGCATCATCCAGAGAAAATATATGAATGTCTGTATAGTCTGGATGTTTGTATATCATGTATTGTAGCATTCAAAAAGGAAATTGCAATTTCCTTTTCAGATTTTCTTGTCATCATGTATTGCACTATGATTAGAAGTACGCTACCTTGGTAATGTGAGTTTCATACCAAAGTCCCATGCCTGAAGTCAATCAGTTTAAACTCATGTTTCATTTCAAATTTTCCTGCTGGGTTCTTAACAGACACATGCTTTAAAATAAAGCAAGAAAAACAAACAAGTACTTAGACCTTTAATTTTTATACTTCAGTTACAGATTCTCATCCCGTTGCTGCTGCTTTAAGACAATGCCTTATGCCTTGCTAACACAAACACTGTAATTCATACACATCTTGGTCATCAGCAGAAGGGAGACTTTCAAAAAAGATATAGTACCTTGAAAGAAAAAATCCTGTTGAACCTCAGTGAGATCGGCATAGAAATCACTCCAGTATATTTAACCACAGATGACAAACAACAGTAAACAAAAACAAAGTTCTCACTTTTGAAGGTGTGAGCATGAAATACTCAGCCTGCAGTATTTAAGCAATTGCAAAATTCAAGAACCAAAAGAAATTACTATAACCCCTATTTCATTTTCATTCTTTGCTAGAAACAGTTCCTTGATTATTTATCAAACCAAAAGGAAGAGTTTTAGGTGTGAAAGCTAGTATTGCTTTAGCTCTTGAAATACTGTTGAAATGTTACAAATTCCAGGCTAGTAATAGCTGGCAGAAGCTTTACATTTAATTCATTCCAGGAAAACAGAAGCAGAGACAATGACTAGAAAATACTTCAGACACTAACATGAAAGACAGCCTACCTTTAACCAAGGATGTGAACACGAATGCCCACAGACAGAAAGCAGGGTAACACCAACATAGCCACCTCTCAGGATGCATTGCTAGCAGCAGAATAGAGCTTCCTTCTGAGAAGCAAGGTTTGGGGAAAGAAACAGAAGACAAGAAGACATACAAGCCACCTGGATAGTTAAGTAGGCAGTACAAAGATGGATTTCAGTTTTGCATCTGCAGCAAACTCCACAGTCTGCTGAGCAGAGCAAAGCCTTTTCAGAGTTGCTTCCACAAACACCAGTCAAAGAGAGCTTATGCTGTGTGGAGAGATGGCAGTCGGGCAGCTTTATCAGGTGACTTTTCACATTTCCAGTCACCCGCACCCTTGCCTCTGGCGGAATGTATAAGAGTGCAGGAGAGAGAGAGAGGGAAGGCAAGACACAGCTCAGACAGCGAGGAGCTGGAGCGCGGGGGGAGGAATTCAGTCAGCCCTTCACACACTGGTTAAAGAGCACTCATCCAAAAGCAGCTGCTGTAGCTTTGTCTGGTGCTCACCTGAGTGAGTCTGTCAGAGGTGAAACAACCCCAGTTTCTCAGCTGAGGATGAATTCTGCATCAGGAGGAATGTATGCTATATAATTTTAACACCTCTATCAGAAACCATCCGAACTTTGAAACAAGCACTCTGTCTTGTGATAAACTTGACTGACAGTATTTTGAGCGAATAAATTTAAGGCAAATAGATTTATTATTGCCATATGAGAGGAACAACTAAGCACGCTAAGTTCTTTCCTGACAGACAAGCAATATCTCGCAACACCACATTTTCTATCCTTTTTCTTGTGTGCAGTCATTTCTGTGCCAGTATCCTGCTAGTGTAGAAACAGTGTAGTAGAACAAAGGAAAATCATCAGGTGCTGTTAGAGAAGTACCTCACAGGCAAAGTTCACTGGAGAGAGTATTACTCTTAACCACAACATAATGATCCTGTAGACATTAATTAGTGTTCATTACTCAAGCGTTT